GCGTGTGGGGGCCCCAAACCGAGTGTTAAGCTCGACCGGCACTCGGAGTGCCCGTTGTGTCGCTCGTGCAGCAAGGCTGAGCCTTGCGAGATTTTTGCGCTGGCCCCCGACTAAGGTTGCGGCGGCTCTGGATTGGGCAGCTCAGACTGGCACTCGATCTCAGAGTTCGCTGCCGGCTGCGTCGGGGGTTGTAGCGGCGCCGGATGACTCTCCTCCGCTCGAGGGTTCGTCGGCTTCGAGTTTGGCGGGTCCTTCCCCTCCGCTGGACCCGGCGCTGGTTTCGTTGATTTCGGAGCAGGTGGGCCGGGTGGCTCGGGAAGTTTTCGCCGGAATGCGGGCCACTTCGGCGGAGCCGGATCCTCCTGCCCCTCCCATCCCTGGGGATGGGTTCCATGTGGCCGGCGAGTCGCCTATGGACGACTCATCTGAGCATCTTGAGTCGGAATCCGAGGACATTGTCCTCGGCTCCGATCTCTCTCAGCTCGTGGCCCGGGCGATGCCGCCCATCCTTGACCATTTGGGGGTTTCTTTTGAGACTCCGTGCCGGGTGGTTTGGGGGTGGGCCTGTGGGGGCCGTTGGCTCCTGCGCGTGTCGCCCACCCTGTCCTGGTTGTGGGACTCCACCCGGACCTCCTCCCTCGCCTGAATTCGCAAGCGAAATCCAAGCCGGTTGCCGCGCCGCGGCGTCTTACTGCTGGTTTTCCGGTCCCCGACGACCAGTTCAAGCAGTTCATTCAGGCGCCGCCTATTCCTCGCGCTGCCAAGGGCAGACTGCGGGAGGATCAGAAGCTCTCTTCTACTTCTAAAGCTTTGTTTTCTAACAAAGCTTTTTCTAACAAAGCTCAGCGCGGCTGAGGAGGCTTTGGCCTTTGTGGACCGCGCAGCTTGGGAGGGCATACGCCCCGTGAATGGGGTGGGGTTTGCTTTGTCCTTCTTGTCTGATGCTGACGCGAACCCAACTCTCGTCCCGGACGCCATTGACCTCCTTCGGGAGGGCATTGGCCTTATTTCGGACCAGTTTAGTTCCATTGTCCAGGCTGCCGGCGCGGCCCGGAGGGCTAATGTGCACAATATGAGCACAAAGCTATATATTGTTAATTGTTAGAAATTGCAATTGTTAGAAATATTTATTTATTTCATTAAATTATTATCAGCATCAATATTTTGTTTCAGGCATTCAATGATGATGTCATCAAACACTCTAAAGATATCGAAGACCTAAAAGATACCGGGAGAGAACTCTCTGATGCCCAGCCAGAGGTCAAATCTGATGTCCAAAAGACAGTTGGTATGAACATCGTAATTTTTTTGTTTTCTCAACACATAACAGTGCTTATACATAGGAATGAAAAAGTTTTAAAAGGCTAACTATTAGCCATCATTGCAAGAAATTGAGTAACAATATTCTGGCTTTCTAATAAATCAATGAGAATATCGTATTATCTACATCCAGATTTAATCAACTGATATCTGACTAATAAATAACAACTTAGCAATGTAGCCAAAGTGGTTCATTTTTCTCCGATTTTCATTCTGTATGTAATACTCTTTCTTGTTATGATAAATTCTATAGATGATGTTAGAGAACGCTATAACAGACTTGAGCGACTACTGACAGACAGAAGCAGTACCTTGCATAGAACTCTGATGAACTGCCGTAGTCTCCAGGACAGCCTCAATAGCCTCATTATATGGTTGGAAGAGAAGGAAGATGCTTTTGACAAACTGGACTCCACAAGACTACTAGTCAAACGAGACAACTTGCAAGAGCAAGTTCAATATCACAAGGTAATATTCAAGTGATAATAGATGTGTATCGCTCCTTCTATATAGTTGCCTGTATAATGTGAAGTAAAAAGTCTATTTCGTGAATACTTACCTGGATAAACTGACAAATTGCCATTGTTCCCAAAATGGAACCCCCTTCGAAATAAAATGGAACAGTCTGACCCAGGGCGCCACGAAGGAACCTTCTCTCTAACAATCGTCCTCATTCCCTAGAGATCCACGGAGAGGGTAGGAAGGGAGTGATGGTTATCCAGGTAAGTATCTCACTCATGGACTACCAACATCACGATTGATTTTTGTAGTCTATTTCGTGAATACTTACCTGGATAAACCGACTAATGTGAAGTAAAAATTATGATTTATTTTCATTATTAATGTTCAATAAGTATCTAAAGTCAAGTATCAGCCTCTGTGCTAATATTATATTGATAATAATTAAATATAAATAATGGCCATCAAAATGAACTCTCAGCAATTTTTCAATCAGCTTTTTTTTTGTTGCATGGTCTTGTACTAATTTTCAGTAAGTTGTACATGATTTGACACATAAAGAAGTGGTATACATATATGCATTTCATGCACATATTTCTAATCTTATAGCTTCATCAGATTGATATTGACAGTCACAAGTCAAGCGTTGCTTCAGTCAACACTCTCGCAACAGAGTTGTTGAAAGACAGTGATCCAACCCAAGCTCACAGCATCCAGAAAAGACTGGATGATCTGAATTCTCGCTTTGGAGAAGTAATCACCCGGTCAAACAACAGAGAAACCTACCTGACCTCACTGCTAGATGATCTCCTACAACTACATAATGAAGTTAAGGATCTGGAGGAATGGCTGTTGCCGACTGCTAAAGTCTTGGAGTCAAAAGAGATTATGATGTTGGACCTTCATGAATGCAACTCCAAACTGCAGGTAAGTTTTTGAATTGGCTTTCAGTATTTTCTGTTGAGCAATATGATGGAAATAAACCAGGATTTAAAACTGCCCAGTAAGCTCATAATCACCGATTCCATTAATCAAGGTTAATTATTGTAAAGGGAACTTGTATTACTTACCAATTTATTCAGTTAAAAATCACACACATTGACTGACAATATTCCTCATGATCCCATAATTTATTATTACCCTGTAGGATATTGAGAGGCAGATAGAGACCCACAGGCCACAGTATGAAGGCATCTTACAATTGTGTAATGCTCTGTTACAAGATTCTGGCAAGAATGACGTCTCATACATCAATGAAATATTTGAGAATATCCAAGAAAATTGGAAGAGTCTTGACAACTTGATGAACAAAAGGTAAAGAATAATTTGAAAAAGCATTTAGTAATATGTTGTATGTTTTTTCTTTTTCCTATTTTATACATTGATTCAAAGTCTACTTTGTGAATACTTACCTGGATAAACCGATAAATGCCTAAGTTTCCTTTGAAACTTACCTCTCGAGCATAAAAGAAAAATAATGGACTCGGCTTAGCTTGCCTACTGTATATACGCCCTGCGTGAATGAACAATATCGTCATTTCCTTCTCGCTTTTGTGATGAAAGCTTGCTATTGTTGTTTACAGAGAGTCGTAAAGTGCAGTGTGTCGCCATGCCCGCGTGGAAGCCTACTTGTTCGATGTGTGGTGGGCCTAGGAGGCCTAGCTCACTCATAGACTAACAACATCACTACTGATTTGTTTAATATGT